TGGCATGTGATCTTTTCGGATGATGCCCCACAAACAGCTTGGGACACTGTTGCAAACAAGGTTGAAGTGGAGGAGCAATCGATTCTGCCGGAGGTTGAGGTGTGGAAGGCCGGGAAGTGGCTGGCTAATTTCTGGATTCTAGACTTTTGTTGCTGGTTATTGGCTACTACTACTCATTAGTCTACTTCTAGAGAGAATAGCAGCTTACAGTCTAGGTAAGCAGGAGTCAAAGTGTCATGGTGCCATATCGGATATATCGTACACATGTGTTTCGAAGATGAAGCTGTGTGTGAGCAGCAAAACCAAAACACATTTGCAGCATTAGCAGAGGTCTTTAGCGCCATACTGTGCAGTATTGGTCATAGCGGCTATTACTTCCTAGTCCTAGCTAGTCAACTACTAAACCTATTGGCATATTGGTGCCCGTTGTTGTCAAGCTATTAGATACTAGATTACTAGATTCAGTAGATTACTAATACTTCCGATTACTGTGTGGTAGTTGCGATTACAGGTGACTAGTATGTGCCAGCTCATGTCAGGCATTACTTGCTAGTCTACCACTCACAAGCCACTAGTCATTCGGCAGAGGGTGGGTGTGCAATTGCTACTGGTCTCAGATTGCTGAGGAAGGTTTCGTTGCAATGGCTACAGGTCGTAGATATCTGAGGAAGGTTATGTTGTAATTGCTGGTGCTCTCAGATTTCTGAGGATGGTTTCGGTGCAGTTGCCTCTGGTTTTGGATTTTTCGCGCGGTGGTGTTGTTTTTCTCTGTGTCGTGCTGGGTGTGGTCTTTCTTTGTGGTGCTGCTAGGATGCTAAGGCCCAGGACTTATGAGTCGTTATGGCTGTTGTGGCTTGCAAGGAATCGGAGTTTTTTTAACGATCGACTGTGAAGATGAGGGTTATGTAATCGAACAGCAATCTAGCAGTACCCGTTGTTTCTTGGATCAATAAGGCAGGGAGTACTCGGTCCATGAGAGTCCTTAGTCGCCTTAGTCGAATCTGTTAGTTATTGTGGCTGTTGCTTCTTCTGCTTTGCCCTGTGAGGGATCTGCAGAAGAGCAAAGGCGCCGAGACTTGGAGGCATCACGAAAGCGGACCAGAAGCTCCACAGCAGCAAGGCAGCCGCGGAGTGAGCAGCCTGCTCCGAAAAGGAGGCGCCGTCGGAAAGGTCCTGGTCACGATGGCGCTCCAGCTGTCGCAGATGGTGGTGAACAGCCCGATCTCGACCCCGAACTCGAGCCTTCGCATGCTGAAGATGCGCGAGAGCGTGAGCTTGAACTGGACAATGTCGACAGTGTTGATCATGATCGCCACTCGAATACAGACAGTGATCATTCAGAAGCTTTGGACCTGGCACTGGAACAGCTAGAAAAGGAATTGCCAGCTGATGCAGCTCCACCAGATGCCGAGCAGGCTGCCACAGCCCGCCCGGAGACGTCCTTGGAAGAACAAAGACAGGCTCTCTTGAGCAGGTTGGAAGCGAAAGCTGCAGAAACAACGACCGCAGATTCTGTTGCTGATGCTGAGGCTGCTGTGGGGGCAGCCACATCCCGTGCTGGCAGAAAGAAAACTGGCACCGAAATCGTTGTTCCCGTCGGGCATTATGGAGAGCTGCATTACTACCCGCCGAGTAACAGCTGCACAGCCATATGCAGATGCAAACGCCATGGCAATGATTGCAAAAAGAGCAGAACCTTCAATGAGCTCAAGAATCGCAGCAGCGGTAGCCGTGATCGTGAAAGTCTTCGCTCAGGCCAAGGGAGACCCGTTGGCTTGCTGGTTCAGTGGCTCATGTGTCAAGACAGTCACCCGGACAGACAAACACATTGCGACACAGCTCTTCCACTCCTCTTCAGCTTGGACGAACGCAAGACAGCACGAGCGTTCTTCAGTAGCATGCCAAAGGCGGATGAAATTCTTCGACGTGAGCGTGCGCAGAAGCCTGGGGAAAGCGAGGAGCCTGAATTCATTTATTAAGGCTCCAACCTCCGCTCCCCCCACGAATGCATTCGCTGAGAATGTTTGCCGATTGACACGGCACCGGCTGAACACAAAAATGCTCCCTGCCAATTCCAGTTTCCACTACTGGAATAAGTAGCAGCAGTTTGTGTAGAAAAAGCTGCTAGGCCCCTAGGCCTTGCCCCGCACTACAGACAGCTTGTGTCAAAACAGCAACCCTCTAGCCGACTCTAGCCACAGAAGCCTGGCACTTAGGATTACAAGTCATCCCGAATATGTTGTTGTTGTTGTTGTTGGCACAAAGACTTCTTCCTTGTTTCAAAAGTACGAAGAAGTAAAGAGTGTCTTTCAGAGGCGTTCAGAACCAAGAGAGGGCCGATTGATGATTCATGTCGGACAGGCCAGCTTTCAGCTTCCACAATCTTTTGAGAGTTGTAAACTTTGAAGACCTGGACGGGATGCAGTTTCGATTTTCAGATGGGTGTTGCTTTTTGATTTGTGGACTTTCGGTTCGTGGAGATTTGGCCTCACTGCATAGAATAAGATATGTGTGCCCCTGTCCCATCTGGTGTACAGAATATAGACAGAGGCTTTTGGTTTCGGACAAGAGTGCCACGTTGTATGTAACACTGTGATCTTGATTCTTGATAGTTTCGCGAGGTTTCGGGGTATCGAAATAAAGGGGCACCTGACCCCAGGCCTCACCCGCTGCGCCCACACTCTCACCTTTGGGCCGTAAACACGGTCTGACAAGTCTAGGAAGACCCCTGCTGCAAATCGGTGCATGATGAGACTCCTGATTGAACAGGCTCTACATCACTCTGCT